AAAAAAAAAAACAAAAACTAATCGGCAACTTGGAGCTCGTCATAATCATTCAGCAGCAGAAATAATTCTCGCATGATAAACTTACATACAAATGTACAAAGAAGACGAGTTCTTCAGTTGATAGAGACTACACGTGGTAGAACGTTTGAGAAGGTGTCACATTGCTGCATATCACAATCCAAGAATCCGAGCAGATGAACTGAGCATCTTGAAGCTTGTATCCATGGAAGGATGGAATTTGAAATCCTTTACCAAGTTTTAAATTTATGTATGGCACGACGACAGTTTTGAGTGTTGTGGACATTATTGTCTGTATAGACAGTACATATGGCTTATGAACCGCTTGATAAAATTAAGAAAAAACACGGGATAACTACACAAACCCTCCTGAAGTTTGGGTGGATAAAAGAGTAAACCAGATTTATCAAGTCTTGCGTTTAAAGTGGTAACTAAAATTTTCTAGCAACAGTTTGGTGCTCATTCATACAGGTAAATATGTGAGAGGAATTGATAATTTTTCTTATTATCGAGAAGTAATCGGGTTATATTTGCGTAACCAGCCCAAAGCAGATATTTATGATAATCCATAATAATGACTACTAGGATAATTTACAAAATTATTTGTTGAATTTCCAAAATATACGACGGTCTGAAAATACAAATCACACATTATCTGTGAAGCATGTATCATTTGAAAGGAACTTTTCTTTTCCATTTTTTGATACAACAAAATATGTGGGAAACTGTGAATTTATTTCCACCAAACATGTGAGTGAAAGCACACCACCTGGGAACTTTTCTTTCCTGTTACTTAGAACAATGAATTTATAAAAGTAAAAAAAAAATGATAGCACCGTACCTGGATTAGATGCATGTGCAAGTCTCCAATATTACTCCATTTAAGAGACATCGTGAGGTCCATTAGTTTCAAAACACCAGACACCGCATTCTGTGAAATTTCAGCAGATACAGAAGCACGGATCACCTGCATCAACAGCTAAATAGGTTACTCACTTACTTGTATCAAGAAGCAACTTGTACACACACAAACAAGATGACTACTTCTATTATATAAGTAATAGCCAAAAATAGAATTTATTTCATTTAACGCTTCATAGTTGCTAAACAAACATAAACTCAAACTGTATTCATAATTAGGTTAAACCTCAAGGGCGGTTTTCGTAATTTACCCAAGACCAAAAACATAAACCTCAATGGCAGTTTTCGTAATTTACCCAAGACCAAAAACATAAACCCAATATTAAGTAACCAGGTATGACTGCTTCTATTATACAAGTAAAAAGTTTATGATCAACTACTACGACTCCAGCCATGTACACACACACACCGCAAAAAAAAAAAAAAAAAAAAAAAAAAAAAGAACATTGAACTAATAGCAGATAACATGTAATAACAGTGGCTTCACTAATAAGCTTACCGTGGAAATGCATACAACTGGTACCAATTCCTCCCCGTCCAAAACATCAATCACCACATCTAAGGGGATTTGTGCTATGATTTGCTGCTGCTTGATTTTTATGGTTGGATTGGATGATACAGAAAGATTTAGATTCAAGTCATGATTAGGATACATTTTGTACAACTGTGGAACAATAAACCTCCACCCAGCTGTGTTCATGAGAGTTTGATCCGAAGCTTTATCAATCATCCAGCGCATCTTGCTTGCCTACTAGGAAAATTTTGAACTATTTACTTGGTCTTATATGAGAGCAATTTAAGAAAATCAATAGTTAGATGAAGGCTGGACGCAAACAAAATGCCCCACTAATAGAATATTAGCAGTCAATTACAATATACATGGCCTTGCAAGTCCATTCTAATTAGTACCTTTATACCAGAAAGATTACCCATTTTTCAGCTTATGCACATCCCACAAAGATAGCCAAATTCCTTTTCAGAGGTCCAGTAATTACTAAATGATCAATTTTCTTGCATACCCCTACTTAATGATCGATTAAATGTTGAGCAGGGGTAATAACACTATAATAGGAACTTTCGAGTCCAATAAATGAATTTCTTAAAGTGTGTGCAAAAAGGAAGTAGATAATCGTATAAGGTGTGGAGGAAATATAATGGGGAAAACAACTTTCAGAATTAAAAATATACTCTCGTATTTATACAAAACATAATTAAATAAAAACACCGAGCAGGCATAACATGAGAAGTTAAGGTGGTAATTGTGATTATTAATAGATACAAGAATTTGAATATGGTGCAACAAAACCTCATTGTGTAACTTCATTATCTCTTGACATTACCGAGTAGGATTGACCACCAAAGCAAGTCCATTAAGGGATTAGTAAGAACATTCACCTCAAAGTAAACAGATGACGCTGACCCAAGTACGTCTTCATGCAGTGAGATTCGGACCATCTTATCAGCTTCCTTGCAGGCGTAAGAATCTTGTAGTAGTATATGATTATGGGTGGCATGGAAAACTTCATTCTTACTAGAGATTAACCCATCTATTTCAAGGTCAACGGATGAACCGCTAAAATCTGGATCATCCACTAATGTAACATTAAGTGTAGCGATTTCAGTAACTGGTACTTCTTTAGGAAGTGATTGCAACAGAGAGTCGAGCTTCACAATTGCATCTTTTAATTTATTAGAAACAGCAGTTTCAACTGAAGAACCAATTTTACCCTCAAAAGCATCCAGCAACCTGGAAAATAAACAATCATAAAAATAGAGTGCATGTTTAATTAGAGAAGACTGTAATAAGACACCAAGGGCAGGATAACTATCAAATAAAAATAGGAAGCAAAAGAGTCTTTTGTTAGCTTAATTTTCCACACAATCTTTTTAAATCTACTTGATAGTGCAGGTGTTTAAGAGAGGATGTAAGATAGAAGTTACAATTCTCAATTCCAAAAAAAAAAAAAAAAAAAAAAATTGTAGTCATTGCATCTTAGAATTTCAAATACTCTGCACTCGAGATAATGAAGACATTATTAGGCACAAGACAATGGGGGCAAGTACAGAAGGTTTTAAGGTAGTTCCGAGTACACAATCATTTTCTGAGCCAACAAATTACCATAACAAGCATATTGAGTGGAATCCAAGTTTTTTAGTAGGAAGCATTAAATACATTATTATATTCAATTGAGCTAGTTATAGATGTCGAGGGTGGAATTAATAAAGCACGCTATACAACTAGTATAGCATGCAATAGTAATCCACTACTTGAGTTGACATGATGCCTGCTTCAACATTAAATCACAGTTTTTTTCCCTCTAATTGTGCACCTAAGTTGTCAATTAAGACCTATCAGCTTTCTTGAGAATATATGCACAGAGACAATTATAACTGGACGAGCCATCAAAGGCTTGACAGGACATTCGAGCGCAAAAATTCTACGATGCGCATAAAGCTTAAGGATAAAGAATCCACTTACAATTATTTTATTTGAGTTCACCATAGCAGTAAATAAAATCTTCGTCAAGCAAAAAAAAAAAAAAGCAAAGGAAAAGATACCCTTGATAAAGCCATGAAGCTCCTCCATCCAATTTTATAGAGATACTGTTAACATAGCATCCGCATTCCAAGAGAGACAGCTTTAGAGATCCTTCAACAGTCTTTAGACTGAGTGAAAGGCCAACTTCAAGTCCTTCAACCTGAAAAGAAGCAATGTTTATTAATTTGCTTAGTGGCTATTAGGTCTGATATGTAGCGCTTCACAAAAAACAGAGCCAATTTTGTAATCTTTTCTCATGAAATCATGGCAGTTAAAAACGAGTATTTTTTTTTTTCATTCAGGAACCTACTTGTAAGTGTATATGACTATGGGGACAATCAACATGACCATACACACCCCTCCAAACAAAATAAAAACAAAAAGCACATAAAAATCTGTTGTAAAAATCATAATTCCTACTGCAATAAAACTTCTCATAGATGAATCACTCATCCCTCCGCAGTAAACGTATGTATATTCCTTTGCACTTAAATGCATATGATGGTAAAATTTAGCATGTTATACACAATAAATAACAAAAATACCATCAATTCAAATAGAAAACCCTAGATATGTATTAGAATAAAGCTGAATATTCTTAATATACAACAGTAAGCATTTTCTCATCGTGTAACAGTCGAGTATTTCAATTCAAATTCAGCTTTAATAAATTGCACAATTAGCTAAAAAGAACACGTGCATGGGTAAAGTTCTTTACTGATTTAGGTTGCCTGTTCAGAACCAGCAGTTCATGAACCAAAATCATTCCCCTAAGCCCTGACTATTAACTTATCTTAGCACACACTTTAATTTGAGTAATTTCACCTTTTTGTTTCAATAAAGGGAGTAGTTTATAGCGTTCCCAGAATTCGGTAAACCTTTAGAATCTAAGAGAAAAGAACTTCTGGGCTATAGATATATATATTTCTGATCGAGCTTCTAGTTTAATTTTTCACACAAAGATAGCCCCTTATTGTAACATACTCACTCAGCTCCTTTAACCGAAATATTGAACATAAACTTCAATTATTCAAACATTACCTGCCACTAAATTCCAACTACTTTTCATGTTTGCCGCAACAAATCACCCACCGTAAAAGCTGAAGTTTTTCCGAATACTCCTTAATAATCAAAGACATTGAAACTTCTGATCAACTTTTCTCCATTTCCACATAACAAAATACACAAAAAGATAGCAGTTTTCCTATTGATACGAACTACACTCCCACGACGAAAGCCAATAGCACCCAACCGACCAAGTAAAATAGGATGCAGAAAAGTCACCTGAACAGTAGCATTTCCTTTATCAGATACCGAAATTGGAATCAACCAAGCACTAGTGTACGAATACTTCCAGTTCATACTCAAATTCGCGGTGGCACCAGAAACTTCAATAACTATCCCACTATCCCCAGTTTTCACAACGGACGACGTTGTGTGGATCTTCTCGATAGTAATGTCGGAAAGGACCATTTGAACTTTACCTAAAACTGGGATTTTCACGGTCTTCTCGATCACGGGCAGCTCGAGAGGGACTAACGAAGATTCAGCCTTTTCTATCAGCAAACCCTTGAAAAAATCGAGGCCCTTGTTCGATATTTCGGCCGCGATGTGCCCGTCTTCGTGGGATTGAGCATAACCACACCAAATGGCGAGCAAAAGAAGCGGCAGAAAAGGGAAAATGGAGCTTGCCATGAGATGATTGAAGATAAACCCAGATTAGATATGGATTTATCGCGTCAAAATTGGTTGAACTGTTTAGGATCATAGAAGGGTTTCTGGGTAGAAGATAAGGGACAAGGACAAGCGTTGTGGTGTGTTCCGGGAATTCATTTTTATGAGAGGTTTTCAGTTTGATGATTAAAACGACATTTTTGGTGTAAATAAGCATGTTTAATAGAAAATTCAACAATAAATAATAATTTCAATAGACATTTCAATGATATAGTTTCTTGGGATCTTCTACAGTCAGGTCATGGTTGTACCTATCTAACATCAGGTAAC